ACCCCAAAATATTTCTTCTCCTATGCCAAAACAAAAACGAGAAAAAGTCCCGTATTGGGCCCCCATTTAAAAAAGATGGGTCCCACACAGATGACGCAAAGGAAAGAGTGGTACTCAAATCCCAAAATGATCAGTTTTTAGCAAGCCGCTAACCCGACTGAGATCGAAGATCAAAATGAATTTTTTATGAGAAGAGCCACAAAATTTGATTAACACAAGCCTATCCGATGTTATCCTGACCCCAAAATGACTTCGAACAGGTGATAAATGACATGCCCATCCCACTCTGCCCCGGGGCCCAGACTCATGGAACTCTGTGTTCATCAAGAACTGAAAGAAGCCCTATCACGACCCTTTTCCATCCTATGGAGAGGGAGCATGGACACGGGGGTCGTCCCTCAGTTACTAAAAACAAAAAGACATACCCCCACTCCCAAAGGGGGCAGTAAAGCAACAGCAAGAACTACAGACCAATAGCACTAACATCCCATATCATAAAAATCTTTGAAAGGGTCCTAAGAAGCAAGATCACCACCCATCTAGAAACCCATCAGTTACACAACCCAGGGCAAATGGGTTTAGACAGGTCGCTCCTGTCTGTCTCAACTACTGGATCACTACGACAAGGTCCTAAATGCACTAGAAGACAAAAAGAATGCAGATGTAATATATACAGACTTTGCAAAAGCCTTCGACAAGTGTGACCATGGCGTAATAGCGCACAAATGCGCGCTAAAGGAATAACAGGAAAAGTCGGTCGATGGATCTATAATTTCCTCACTTACAGAACACAGAGAGTAGTCGTCAACAGAGTAAAGTCCGAGGCAGCTACGGTGAAAAGCTCTGTTCCACAAGGCACAGTACTAGCTCCCATCTTGTTCCTCATCCTCATATCCGACATAGACAAGGATGTCAGCCACAGCACCGTGTCTTCCTTTGCAGATGACACCCGAATCTGCATGACAGTGTCTTCCATTGCAGACACTGCAAGGCTCCAGGCGGACATCAACCAAATCTTTCAGTGGGCTGCAGAAAAACAATATGAAGTTCAACGATGAGAAATTTCAATTACTCAGATATGGTAAACATGAGGAAATTAAATCTTCATCAGAGTACAAAACAAATTCTGGCCACAAAATAGAGCGAAACACCAACGTCAAAGACCTGGGAGTGATTATGTCGGAGGATCTCACCTTCAAGGACCATAACATTGTATCAATCGCATCTGCTAGAAAAATGACAGGATGGATAATGAGAACCTTCAAAACTAGGGAGGCCAAGCCATGATGACACTCTTCAGGTCACTTGTTCTATCTAGGCTGGAATATTGCTGCACTCTAACAGCACCTTTCAAGGCAGGTGAAATTGCCGACCTAGAAAATGTACAGAGAACTTTCACGGCGCGCATAACGGAGATAAAACACCTCAATTTACTGGGAGCGCTTGAGGTTTCTAAACCTGTATTCCTGGAACGCAGGAGGGAGAGATGCATGATTATATACACCTGGAAAATCTAGAGGGACTAGTACCGAACTTGCACACGAAAATCACTCACTACGAAAGCAAAAGACTTGGCAGACGATGCACCATCCCCCCCAATGAAAAGCAGGGGTGTCACTAGCACGTTAAGAGACCATACAATAAGTGTCAGGGGCCCGAGACTGTTCAACTGCCTCCCAGCACACATAAGGGGGATTACCAACAGACCCCTGGCAGTCTTCAAGCTGGCACTGGACAAGCACCTAAAGTCAGTTCCTGATCAGCCGGGCTGTGGCTCGTACGTTGGTTTGCGTGCAGCCAGCAGCAACAGCCTGGTTGATCAGGCGCTGATCCACCAGGAGGCCTGGTCACAGACCGGGCCGCGGGGGCGTTGACCCCCGAAACTCTCTCCAGGTACTCCAGGTCCAGGTAATAGGATTTGTATATAGGGGTTTGCTACTATCCAAGGTTTTGGTATCCACGGCAGGTCCCTGGAATGTATCCTCCACGGATACGTGGGTCCTACTGAACCTGGGTGTTAGTCAACTGGTGTGGGTTGCATCCTGGGGGACAAGATTGAGGACCCCCTAAGGAAATAAGACATTCCTCAATGACACACTGCCTTTCTTTGGTTACCCTGGGTGGCTAACCCCTGGAGTTAAAAATCCAAACAAAATCTTATCTTATTGTCCCATTATGCTGTATTTGTATTGTAATTTAAGTACGTAATTTGCTGTATCTTCATCTGTATTCAGTCACTCCATAAAACTGAAGATCACTGAACCAGTTTATATATGAATGGTAATACAGTGGACCCTCGACATGTGATATTAATCCGTTCCTGAGAGCTCATCGAATGTCGAAAATATCGAAAGTCGAATTAATTTTCCCCATAAGAAATAATGGAAGTCAAATTAATCCGTGCAAGACACCCAAAAGTATGAAAAAAAAAATTTACCACGTGAAATATTAAGTTTAATGCAATAGAATAATTACAATAACAACAATAACAGTAGATTAATAACAATAGAATAATTGACACTTACCTTTAATGAAGATCTGGTGATGATTGATGGGATGGGAGGAGGGGAGAGTGTGGACGGTGTTAGTGTTTAGAAGGGGAATCCACTTCCATTAGGACTTGAGGTATCAAGTCTTTTTCCGGGGTTACTTCCCTTCTTCTTTTAATGCCACTAGGAACAGCTTGAGAGTCACTGGACTTCTGTCGCACAACATATCTGTCCATAGAGGCCTGTACCTCTTGTTCCTTTATGACTTTCCTAAAGTGGTTCACAACATTGTCAGTGTACAGGTTGCCAACACGGCTTGCAGTAGCTGTGTGAGGGTGATTATCATCAAAAAAGGTTTGCACTTCAAGCCACTTTGCACACATTTCCTTAATCTTAGAAGTAGGCAACTTCTTCAATTTCTCTATCCCCTCCTTCAAAGCTGTTTCCTCAGGTCGCCTCTTGCTGTTGAAGATGATCTAGCAGCTCATCAGTGGTTAGTTCGTCATTGTCCTCCTCCACCAACTCTTCCACATCCTCCCCACTAACCTCCAACCCCAAGGACTTCCCCAATGCGACAGTGGATTCCTCAACTGGCATAGGATTCTCAGGGTTAGCCTCAAACCCTTCAAAGTCCCTTTTGTCTACACATTCTGGCCACAGTTTTTTTCCAAGCAGAGTTCAAGGTCCTCTTAGTCACTTCCTCCCAAGCCTTACCTATAAGGTTTATACAATTGAGGATATTAAAGTGATCCTTCCAAAACTCTTTTAGAGTCAGTTGAGTTTCTGAGGTCACTACAAAGCACTTTTGAAACATAGCTTTTGTGTACAGTTTCTTGAAGTTGGAAATGACCTGCTGGTCCATGGGCTGCAGGAGAGGAGTGGTATTAGTAGGCAAAAACTTGACCTTAATGAAGCTCATGTCCCCAGAAAGTCGCTCTGCCAAGTCTGTAGGATGACCAGGGGCATTGTCTAATACCAGGAGGCACCTAAGGTCTAATTTCTTTTCAGTTAGGTAATTTTTCACATTGGGGCAAATGCATGGTGTAACCAGTCATAGAAAAAGTCCCTAGTGACCCATGCCTTACTGTTTGCCCTCCACAGCACACACAAATTAGCCTTGAGGATATTCTTTTGCCTGAATGCTCTGGGAGTTTCTGAGTGATACACTAATAAAGGCTTCACTTTGCAATCACCACTAGCATTGGCACACATAAACAGAGTAAGCCTGTTTTTCATAGGCTTATGTCCTGGGAGTGCCTTTTTCTCCTGAGTAATGTAGGTCCTGCTTGGCAATTTCTTCCAAAACAGGCCTGTTTTGTCACAATTAAACACTTGTTCAGGTTTCAATCCTTCAGCCTCTATGTACTCCTTGAATTCCTGCACATATTTTTCAGCTGCTTTTTGGTCTGAACTGGCAGCCTCACCATGGCTAATCATGCTATGTATGCAACTACGATTCTTAAATCTTTCAAACCAACCTTTGCTGGCCTTAAATTCACTCACATCACCACTAGTTGCAGGCAATTTCTTTACCAAATCAACATGCAACTGCCTAGCCTTTTCACAAATGATCGCTTGAGAGATGCTATCTCCTGCTATCTGTTTTTCATTTATCCACACCAATAACAGTCTCTCAACATCATCTAACACTTGCGATCTCTGTTTCGAAAACAAAGTTGCACCTTTTGCAACAACAGCTTCCTTGATTGCCGTTTTCCTGCTCACTATAGTAGAGATGGTTGATTGGGGTTTACTATACAACCTGACCAGCTCCGACACACACACACCACTTTCGTACTTTGCAATTATCTCTTCATTTCAGTAGTCATTAGCACCTTTTTTCTCGAAGGGTTGGCACTGGAAGCTTTCTTGGGGCCCATGGTTACTTATTTTGCAGAAACAAACGCCAAAAACAGTGATAATATGGAATGTACCGAATGTATCCTTAGATGCGCGCACACTGGCTGGCTTGTAAACACTGGTGCATACGGGGCAGTTCAGGCCACATGTGGACACTTCTCGTACGAATCGTATCGAATGTCGGGTTTTCCATCGAATGTCGATGCGAAATTTTTGCGTTAAAATGCATTGAATGTCTGATTTATCGAATGTCGATGCCATCGAATGTCGGGAGTCCACTGTAATCACATAACCTGTGCATAGGAGAATGAAACATGAAGACATTTCAATCTGATTTGGACCATTGACAAGTTAATGTTCCAAGTTAAACTGAAACATCTTCACAAGCTTCATTCTCCAATGTGCAGGTTGTGTGTATTGTTCTAGTCATGGTACTGTGCATTTGTATTCTGTAAAAGTGTGAATGTTTTATAATTGACCTTTTGTCATTAGCTACCTTTCGTATTGTACTTATGATTGTAGTTAAGTACACAAGAAATATTAATTGATAGGCTTTCTCTAGTTCAATGCAAAAGATGCATTGCATAATAAGTGGCTTTCTTTTGTGCCTACTGTATGTCATTCCTGTTATTCTTATGTATTATTCTTAAATCTCTCTCTTCTTTTTAGATGGCTACAGGTGGTCCACGTAAATTTACTGGAACGGCTCAAGATTTTATCGATTGGTTTAGGGGTATTGAACTTGCACCAGTAAGTACTTGCATGTGTAATTTACCATGCTTAATGTATTTTTGTAAAAAATTTACCGAAAGATTTTCTCATTTAGCCTCGGGGGAATTATTTTTTTTAACCAGCTGTTTCCCACCAAGGTAGGGTGACCCAGTAAAGGAAATGCAATCAGCATCACTCAGCCAATAGCTATACAGTGGACCCTCGGCTAACGATATTAATCCGTTCCTGAGAGCTCATCGTTAGATGAAATTATTGTTAGCCGAATTAATTTTCCCCATAAGAAATAATGGGAATCCAATTAATCCGTTCCAGACAGTGAAAAATATTAAAAAAAAAAAAATAAATTTTTTTCATGAAATATACATTTCCCTACAAAGAAAACGAGACATGCACAATAACTATATAAATAAATGTTAAAATGACGCTTACCTCTATTGAGAAGTATTGATAAGTGATGAGACATTGTTTTTCTTGAACACTGGGATTTTCACAGTGATACATGAGTAAAGGCTTCACTCTGCAGTCCTCACTAGCATTACAGCAAAACAAGAAAGTTAGCCTGTCTTTCATAGGCTTGAGTCCTGGGAGTGCCTTTTTCTCCTGAGTAACGTAGGTCGTGTTTGGCATTTTCTTCCAGAACAGGCCTGTTTCGTCACAATTGAACACTTGTTGGGGTTGGAATTTTTCATCTTCGCCATGCCTTATCACACTGTGTATGCCACTACGATTCTTAACCCTTAAATGGTCCAAACAGATCGAAGTTCAAATCCGTAGAGCTCCAAGAGTAGACCTACGTTTTTTTTTTATATATTTTCAAATATAACAAAAAAAAAAGTAGATAAAAGTTTTTTTACACATTTTCAAATGTAAAACAAGAAAGAAGATCTACATTTTTTTACGTACTTTCAAATGTTGAAAAAACGTATATATACGTTTGGACCATTTAAGGGTTAAATCTCTCAAACCAACCTTTGCTGGCCTTAAATTCACCAATGTGAGCACCAGTTCCAGGCATTTTTTCCTGTTCACCTGGGTGTTAGTCGACTGGTGTGGATCGCATCCTGGGGACAAGATTAAGGACTCCAATGGAAATAAGTTAGTCCTCGATGACTCGCTGACTTCTTGGGTTATCCTGGGTGGCTAACCCTCTGGGGTTAATCGTTTCTCGGTAATTGTTTCTCGTTAAGCCACGCCAACAATCTCCACATCTTCGAGTAGTACAGCTGATGGTGGTGCAGCAGCAGCTGACCGTGGTACGTTACTATTTCGATAGTATTTCTCACCCTTTTTACCACAGGGTTGGCACTAGAAGCTTTCTTTGGGCCCATGGTGGCTTACTTAGCAGTTACAAGCACTATAAACAATGGAATAATACAAAATGTATCGAATGTATGCTTGAAACCGGCCACCCAGGCTTGTAAACAATGATGGCAGGGCAGCTGAGGTGCTGAGGCTGGATGGACAGGTTTGGGACAAATCACATTGGGCGAGTTTTTTATCGTTAGCCAGGCCAAAATTTTTACGCTCAAACACTTCGTTGGGCAGATTTAATGTTATGCGATGCGTTCTTTAGCCAAGGGTCCACTGCATTGCCAAAGTGTGCAGACATATCTGTTCAAATGGCTGTCTGAACTGCATCATCCCCCATCCTTGCTTAAGAGTGCAGGCATTGTACTTGCCACCTCAGGACTGAAGTCCAGTTCTTTCTTTTTTCTCATAATCACAGGGGGATACCAGGTACGTATATCTTGCTACGTACTTCCACTTACACTTAAGTCATACTACGCATGCATATACATTCATATATATACATACCCATACCCAAAACTGTTGTCCAGAGGGCTGAGGAAGGGTTGTTGAGGTGGTTCGGACATGTAGAGAGAATGGAGCGAAACAGAATGACTTCAAGAGTGTATCAGTCTGTAGTGGAAGGAAGGCGGGGTAGGGGTCGGCCTAGGAAAGGTTGGAGGGAGGGGGTAAAGGAGGTTTTGTGTGCGAGGGGCTTGGACTTCCAGCAGGCGTGCGTGAGCGTGCTTGATAGGAGTGAATGGAGACGAATGGTTTTTAATACTTGACGTGCTGTTGGAGTGTGAGCAAAGTAACATTTATGAAGGGGTTCAGGGAAACCGGCAGGCCGGACTTGAGTCCTGGAGATGGGAAGTACAGTGCCTGCACTCTGAAGGAGGGGTGTTAATGTTGCAGTTTAAAAACTGTAGTGTAAAGCACCCTTCTGGCAAGACAGTGATGGAGTGAATGATGGTGAAAGTTTTTCTTTTTCGGGCCACCCTGCCTTGGTGGGAATCGGCCAGTGTGATAATAAAAATAATAAAAAAAAACATACCCATCTGGATTTTCTTCTATTTTCTTTGTAACTCCTGTTTTTCTTTATTTTATTTCCTCTTATCTACCATGGGGAAGTGGAACAGAATTCTTCCTCCATAAACCATGTGCCTCATAAGAGGCGACTGAAATGCTGGTAGCGAGGGGCTGGTAACCCCTTCTGTATAAATTGCCTTGGTGGGATACGGCCAGTTTGTTGAAAGAAAGAATAGGAAAAGATGTGGCCAGAAGGCTACAGGGAGGGACTTTTTCGTCCTTAATGACATTGTGATGTTTACAAATCTGCAGCTCTAAGATTGAGAAGTGTGTGCTGCAGTTTGATTTAACGCTTTGACTGTCGCAAACCCATTTCTGAAACTGTCTTCCCATGTCGCAAAATATTTGAAAAAAAAAAATTCCTACCAAAATGATAAGATTAATTTGCCGAGTGTTTTAAGCCTAAAAATTTTTTTGCAATCAGTACTTACCGAGATATAGAGGTGTAAAGTTGGCAGAAAATGAGCCGCGTATGGCAACAGTGGCGAATGCTGCTCACCCGGTAAACTTTTTTTTTTTTTTACTCCCATTGTAATGTTTCTTGTTTTTTCCACCTCTATATTTTTTCACGTAACTATGTGGCCTGTAAGACCAAAGTAAGGTGCAGTGTACATATATACATTTATTGTATGCAACACAATAAGTGCACAAACATTAGTATCAACATATTGTTTACAAAACTTGTTTACACAAACAAATAATACAAAAAATTGTTTATTACTATTGTTCTATAATATACTACATTGGAACCTCGGCTTACGAATGCCCCACCATGCAAATTTTTCAGGATACGAACAGTCACACGATCGATTTTTTGCTTCTGGATACAAACGAAATTTCAGGATGCAAACTTCCTCCTCAAGGGAGGTTACTTGGTAAGGGGCTCTTGATCAAAGGAATTGGATCTGTGCTCCACTTCCCTAAATTAATAATAATAATAATAATAGTTATTACAGGTCCTCCATCACAAATCCGGCATCATTGGGACTTTTGCGACACCAGGACGTAAGACGTATATGTACGGCCACGACAGTCAAAGGGTTAATGTCAATATACTGATTCATAAGATGACCCTCACCTCTTTTGATATGCCTATAAATTCTCTTCCTCTGTCCTAAAAGATATTGGAGCCTATTATTCCTCAATTTGGGGTCATTTCTATTCGATCTAATTTCCTTATATGGGATAAATGTAATTTGGGCAGCATGTATTGCGTTAAGAAAGCTGTCATACTGATAGCTCTCTTCGTTGCTCCAGTCTACAGATGATAAGTGTTCTCTAAGCCCATAGTAATATGCTAAGCGAAAATCTGGAATTGTTACTGAGTTATCCCTAATCATACTTCCATTCAATGCTAAATGTAATTGATTTGTGGTCGCTAGCTCCAAGTTCCTCTGAAATTTCTAAATTATTAACAAGGGATTCATTGTTTACCAGAACTAAGTCAAACAGGTTATTTCCCCTTGTAGGCTGTCACAAACTGCTTCAAAAAGCAATCCTGAACCACTTCTAAGAAGTCGTTTGATTCTAAATTCCCAGTCAAGAAATTCCAATCAATATGACTAAAGTCCCCTAGAATTATTACGTTATCGTGCCTTGTGGCCTTAACAATTTCCTCCCATAGTAGTCTCCCTTGGTCCCTATCTAAGTTTGGGGGACGGTATATTACACCTAAAATCAATTTTTAATGTCCCTCTGAAAATTCTATCCAAACAGACTCTGTATGTGTTTCTTCAGACTTAATACCCATTTTTATGCAACAGTTCAAGCGATCTCGGACATACAGTGCCACCCCACCCCCCTTCCTGATACTTCTGTCTACTTGGAACAATTTAAAACCCAGAATGTGACATTCAGCAGGCATGTCCCGATTTTTCGTATTGAACCACGTCTCGGTTAAGAACATAAGAACATAAGAATGTAGGAACACTGCAGAAGGCCTACTGGCCCATGTGAGGCAGGTCCTTATCAAAACGACCTCTACCTAAAGCTACCCAAGAAATAACTCTATCACCCACCTGGGAAGACTGTTCCATGCATCAACAACTCTGTTAGAAAATCATTACTTACCTATGTCCTTTATAAATCTAAATTTATCCAACGTAAATCCATTATTTCTGGTTCTTACCTCGTTCGACACCCTCAGTACTTTATTAATATCTCCCTTGTTTATGCCCATCATCCACTTATACACTTCAATGATATCTCCCCTCATCCTACGCCTCTCCAGAGAGTGGAGAATAAAGGCTTTAAGTCTATCTTCGTACAGGAGGTTCCTTACACAGTAAATCATTTTAGTCATTCTTCTCTGTATGTTCTCTAATGAGTCTATATCCATCCTGTAGTAAGGGGACCAAAACTGAGCAGCATAATCTAAATGAGGCCTCACTAGTGATGTATAGAGCTGTAAAATAACTTTTGGACTTCTGTTACTTATACTTCTTGAGATAAATCCAAGTAATCTGTTGGCCTTGTTGCGCACACTAAGGCACTGCTGTCTTGGCTTTAGATTTCTGCTCACCATGACTCCCAAGTCCTTTTCACATTCTGTATGATCAAGCTCTACTTCACCTAGATTATAGCTTCGATGGTTATTTTCATTACCAAGGGCTAGTACCTTACACTTACCGACATTGAACTTC